GCCCAACGCCATCCGCTACATCGAGAGCCGGCAGGCGCTGCTGCGGGAGCAGGAGGACGCTTACTACCCCGTGCTGGAGCACTACAGTGGGGAGTCAGATGCCTCCAGCCCCCGCTCCAACTGCTCCGATGGCATGGTGAGTGACCCGGGGAGGACACCCTGCCTCTGAGGTGCCCATACCTCCCAAGGCAGAAGACAGAGCCCCTGCTCGTCCCTTGAGCTCCAGTGGCAAAGGGAGGTGGGGTCCCCACATGCCAGGATCTCTGGGAAAGAAGAAAAATTTCTTGCACGCTTTTTTCCCTGGGATGAGAAGTTAAGCAGGTCCCCCCGTGTCTCATGGAAGAGCTGCTGGGGGAGCGCTTCGGGAGGCGGCCTGGCATGGGCACATGGTGAGCTCTGGGCCCTGCCTGCGCTCCCGTCGCTCCCGGGGTGCCTGTTTCCATCTTCTGCTGTATCATTGCCTTTGAGTCCTCTAAGGACAGCAGAGAGGAACATCCCCCTTGGTCATGGTAGCTACAGGGACACTGATAAGAGTCTGGGTTTTGCTTTCTGCCGTTCGTCATGATAACAGGGGGAGGGTCTGAGCAACAGGAGTTGTTTTTCTTGACCCTTAAGAAAAAGGTTCTCCATTTCTCCTCTTGTTTCATCCCTTCCGTAGACATTTACCAGCAACAGGAAGGAGACCCCAGGCTTTCAGTCCTGCTTGTACGTTACGGGGAGGGGAGAAGAAGGGCGGGAGCCAGATAAGGTGTCTCATGGCCACGTCTTTTCACTGGGACTGTAGGCTTGGGCTCTGGGGTGGTGGGACGTGGTGACCGGAGTGCAGGACGGCTGTCTGGGACAGGATCTTGACAGCATGTTAAGACCTGAAATTTTTTCTGTGCTCTGGAAGGGTTAATCGTTACTGAATTGAGTATCTGTGATTGAGATAGTTGGCAGATTGGAAAGAAGATTCACACAAATGATCCCTCCTCAAAATACAGCCTTTTTCTTAGAAAGAGTAATTTCATTGTGGATTAAAGTGTTGGAAACAAATACAATTGTCAATGTTTTGGGGCTTTTTCTGTACAAAATGGAAACAGGAAGAGAAACTAAAGGGAATAAAAAGGGACAAAGGTAGACTAAAGGCTTTTTAAGAGGAACACGTTTGGAAAAACCTTCAAAAATGAAATCCTAAAAAGACTCATTCCCCTCTTGGTCTCCCTGTTGTAAATTGAAGATACATGTAGGGCAGTATCTGATCAGAATGCTGGAAAACCTCATCTCGTGTGTAATGTTACAGCATTCCATGCGACAATGGTATTTTTCCCTTAGAACAGCTGTCCCACGTAAAGTATTTTGGGGTGAATCCCCTTCTAGCCAAGTGAAGTTCTGCCTTATTGAAAGAAGCTACAGCTTGGTGGCACTTCAGCCAGGACTGGAATGATGGCACAGACTAGGGACTGAAATACGAGATTGGATGGTTACTGGGATTTCAGTAAATGCTGTCCCCAACCAGCAACCTCACTCAGATTGCTCTCCTTTGCAGATGGAGTACAGCGGGCCTCCTTGCAGCTCTCACAGAAGAAACAGCTACGACAGCAGCTACTACACCGAATCACCAAATGGTGAGTATGTGCCGCAGCGGCTGCGTGAAACACGGAGATGGAGGCAGTCAGCGCAGCAGAATTCCTCGTGCCTGCTCTGTCTCCAGTTGTTTAGCTGAGGCTGAAAGAGGAACCTGCCTTTTCAGCCAGCGAGCCGTTGATGCCAGTAAAAGCACTGGATTTCCTCTAGATGTATTTGCAAATACGGGAATATGTTGTGGCTACATTTCCTATATTTGCAAATACAACACTTGCATAAAAATATACTCCTCCCTGCAACTAATTTGCAGTGTTTAACCATGTTTTGCATGAAGACCCTTCTAACTCTATCACTGATCCAAACTAGAGAAATCGCTGATTGATTTCAAATCTTCCCTTTCTGTGTGGACTGAATGAAGCCCTGGATCCACCCTGCCCCAAAACTAGTGTACTTTGGTTGGGTCTCTCTTCCGTTTTGCAATTACAGTCTCCGTTTTCTGATAATTGGCATCCTTCACCAGTATTCATTTCCTCTGTATCTTTACATGCTCACAGATGCATACTGTCAGCCACTCCCTGGGGTTTTGTGAAAGAACTGCATCTACTAATGTGAAGCTGGATAAACTGAGCACCTCTTTGTCTGTTTTTCAGATCCAAAGCATGGGAAGAGTTCTGTTGTTTCCAGCCTCGATTGCCTCTCGAGCATTGTAGAGAGGATTTCCACAGATAACTCCACATGTCCTGTACTGCCACCAGTGGAAACTGTTGCTGAAGGGAGTCCTTGTTCCCCTCCAGAAGGAGTGAGTCTGAATGACAACGGAGCCCAAATTCCTTCCCCCACCAACTGCGCCCCACTTCCCCAGGATAACAGCAGCAGCAGCAGCAACCCTATCTACCAAGTGCTATGAAGGCAGGTCCAGCTGGACTGCACTGAAGACAAATTGCTCCATTCAGCCAAGCTCCGAGACCTGCCTTCTAAGACTGAAAAGACTTCTTAAGACTTCTTCCAGTTCTAAAATATCACTCAAAATTCCTTCAAATATATAACTTTTCAAACCTGTATTACTTCAAAATCCACCTAGTTATTTATTGGTTGTTAAACTAAAGTTATTTAATATGTCTAGATATAAAATTGTATACCTTGAAATGGCCAACATTTAATCTGGGCTTGGGGAATAGGAACCTGGCTGTTGAATGTGGAGGAGAATAGAAATCTGCAACAGGAGTGGCATGACCGATCCTTCCTATTACTCCTGTTCTGGCCAAAATAAGGTTGTGGACCATTTTTTATAAAACTTTTTGTATAACTGTAAATAAGAGTTGCTTTGCAAAAAAAAGGGAAAAAGAGGAAAAAGAAAGAAAAAAATTAAAAACAAAAAGGAGGAAAAAAATTTAAAAATATTTAATATTGCTTGGTTTGTTGTGTCAAACTTTTAACTTTATATATTTATACAATGTGGTTGCGAAGAATGTTTTCAACAGTATTCTAAATAAAGACCCTTATTTATAAAATCTGTGGTGTTATCTTGACTTTCATTAGGGCTTCTAGAATTACTAGTGCGTTCAGGAGTGGTATTAAGATCGCTGCCTTGGCACGAAGAAGATACAGGCTCTGATTCAGCAAAGACATCAAGAACATGCTTCAGTCACACTACTTCCAACTACTTGGCGTAAATATATTGCTGAAAAGGGGTCTGCTTTCTTCATATTGTATCTTAGTGATATCTAAACGAATTCTTGCACATCAGAGGTCATTATTAAAGAGATCTGTAAGGTAAACAAGCATGTTTCCCTTCCTCCCCCCAAAGTTTACTATGACATTATAGGACGTGATCTTACAAAGATGTGTTAGAACTAGGAATCACAATAAATCAGACTCTCCAAATTCCAGTGCAGCTACCATAACTTGAAGTCATACAACACTGTCTCATAAGACCAGGTACTATGTTCTTGGCCAAATGTTCATCCAAGTTCTAGTTTTCAAGTGTTTATACCATGTTTGTATATTCTCAGGTGTCAGAAAATAATTGCAAAGGATTTTTTGCCTTCAAGGTATAGATCACAGTTTTCCTCAAGTTCAGGTTGGAATTTAAGCCAAAGATAGGCAGTTTTAATTTGGATTTGAACTTTACGCATCTCTGGCAGTACTACTCCATGGATTTACTTCTTGTTTAGAGCCTCTCTAAAAATAACCAGTGGGCTATGTTTCATTCAGTATATGTGTGTACCCTTGCAGGCTTGTCACGAAACTGAGGAACATTAAGCCCTGAGCAGGTTGTCATTGGTAAGTAACCATTAGGGCATTTCTGTACATTTGAACAAGAATAACCAGCAGCTATAGTCAATGTGAAGCAATCCATTTCTTGTCATATCCCTGTGATTTATGGATTTTGTTTAAACATCACAGTAAAAAAAAATTAAAAAACCTCACCCAAAAACCAACGCCGATATCGTTATCAGCTCCAAATACTTTGATGACAGATCAGTCGTCGTATTCTTTCTTAGCTGGCTATTAAAGAGGGAAAATGGGTAGCTCTTACCTCCTACGCAGGAGAAAGAGGGAACAGCTAATTCCATGGGAACATCTCCCCCTCCTTTAGTTGTGGGGGTCCTGAAGATCCGTGCTCCATGTAGAGGAGTGAGCGGCCTTGTGCCGAGCAGAACAAACGCTTCTGCTTGCTCCTGGGTCAGAGGCATGCACCAAGCTCGCCGTCTTAGCCAAAGCCAGAGGGGCAGGGAAGGCAGCAGCCATGGGGATTCCTTCCTCGTCCCTGCGCTTGTGATCATGGTGAATGATAAATTGGCGTCAAGGCACAGGACCACTCCACAGAGTAGGCCAGTCTCCCATGGATCAGAGGGGGTTCCTCAACACCTTCATTGAAGTCCAGCTTTGTGAAGGTCTCCCATTGATTTCACTGTGGGCAGAAAACAATCCAGCCTATAAAGGCTGATCTTACCCCTTTCATTTTTCCATTAAAAAGAAAAATTAAATGAACTTGAGAACATGTTATTTCATACTGGCATGAATCAGGAGGGTCTCTCATAAGGTCAGAAAAATGCCCCAGGTTAGTTTGCAGCCTATATCACTAACTTAGAAAAACTGAAGTGAGACAGAGCCTCACAAATCAATGCCTCGCACATCAACAATAAAATTTTCATTGCCTCCAGCAAACACTCCATCAGGCCCACAACACAAAAGATCAAAAGATGCTTTTGTGAAATACTATAGACCTTGTCATCCCCATGCTCTGAGGCTGGTACAAGTATTAATTTTGCTGTCCTGTAACTGGCAACCAAGAAGCATTTTGCCAGCTCAGGCACTACAGAGACTCTGTACGTACTGGCAGCACAAAGTTCGTGCCTGTCTCACTACAGCACCCCACTTCTGCAGCACACAATAGGTTTTACCTGGCTGCAAAGCTGGCACGGCACACTGGACACGGCGCGCTTGTGCTCGACAATGTACGTGCAGTTCCATGTGAAGTCATGTATATTGCATTTCACTGATTTATTTTAGCAACCCAACTTTCCACATGCTGATGTTAATGTTACAACAGAGAACAAGCATTTAGCACATCCCAAAATAGATGGATGGATGAAGAAGAAAAAAACATTCACAGATTTCCTATGCAGAGCCCATCTTTTTCCCATTGATGTCAGTGAGAAAAGTGCACTGGAGTAAGGCCAAAGGGCGTCAGTGCTGATAAATACACATTTAGGTTACATCTATATTTATTTTTGAACTTAAATAAGTAAAATGTGTTCCCTGTGAAATTTCTTCCTATTTCTAAGGTAAATATATTCGAAACAAATGCCTGAAGTTACTCAACTCCTCTGTGCATCAAGAGGACGGCATGTTACTGACAGAGTATATCCCAGTCTATGTGCACATATTTCAAAGCTGGAAATACTTGGACTCAGAGCTCTAGTTCAGTTCCGATAGTGGCAGGGAGCGTAAGCAGAGCTGAGGAACAGATACAAGACGGATCCAACATTTATAGGCTTTGGTTCTTAAATTTGGCTCCCAAAGGTGTATTTAGGCATTTAGGGCTGATCCTGCAAGACAAACCGCAGTCTGGCTTGGTCTACAGAAACGCTCCAGCATGGGCTACAAACACACACCAACAGCCTGAAATCATCGGCTTACACCACACAGGTTCCAGATCAATACTCTGCAGGACAGGGCACCTAAAGAAATGCTGTTTGATTTTAAAAAATCTGAATCCCACAGACTGTACTGACATGGAGAGCCCGAGAGAAAATGGGGGTGGCTGCAAACCAAACCCTTCCTCTCCCTGAGCTGCCTCGGCAGGACAGCACAGACCTGCCTGAACATGGGTTCAGAGCTTTCCACTAAAGATATTAGAATTGTCTGATGTTTCCTATGGAATGCTACCACCAAAGGGAAAGTCATACAGCTACAAATAATTAAGGGAAAGTAGCTGTCTTTGAACATAAAAATAAGTGTGTGTCTTAGGTACGTTTGATTTCCTTTGGTAACTTAAGAAAGCCCCACTGGGGCGGCACGACAAAACCAGTATCATTGGTTTAACTTAAACTATTGCTATGGAAAAAGCCAAGAGGAATAAATTTATACCTCACTTATCTACGCTAAGTGCTTTGATTTTAAACTTCATCAGGTCACTTGCAAATATGAGAATGAAGAGGATCCTTCTACTTTCAATATTTCACAACAAAAAAGTGCAATAAAGTTGCTGTTTTTTTAAAAATAACAATGTCATACACCATTTCCCACATTATCATTGAAGGTGCTACAGAATTTTTTCACATACTAAAAATTCAGTTTTAGGTAAAAAAATATATGAACTATTCTTGATATATTCTTTCTTTTAAAATATTTTATCATCTGTATCCAAAAGTATTAAAGAAATATTAAGTTTGACATTGCTTTGCACCAGATGCTGCTCTTTTAAAATGACTTGTCCCTAGAGTAATACACAAGAGCCTTCAGATATGACTTGTCATTTTAAACACAAGATAAAGACCTTACAAAACCCCACTGAATGTGGAAGGAAAAACAGTTTTCATTTTACAGCTTGTATTTTGCAGAGATATTTGAAAGGGTCAAACTGTGGAAAGGGCAAAACCTGCTCATTTTACTCATAAAAATGGTGTTATCATCTTCAGAAGAACAATACCCAAGAGCGAACAGACAAGCAAACGTTTGTACCTCATGCCACCCAAACATTAATGAGAAGAAATTAGTACTTCCCTTTGGTGTAAAAATTATTAATTTGTTCCTTGAAATCAGTGGCCAAACTCCCAACTTCAGTGAGAAAAATCTCAAGCCACAGCACGTAACGCTGTCTGGGATAGTGTTGACGTAGCGGTGCAAAGCCACGATGCAAACTCCCTGCCGTGCCCCTGTGCTTGTGCTCTGGTCACTGACCCATTCCTATCGCAGCCCCTCTGGATACGCCGATGCCCTGAGCACAACCCCACTGAACAAGCTGGCAGGCTTTACCACTCGCCTGATCTTAAAATACAAACGAGAAACTATGACCATAATAATGCTGAAAGTCTACAACATTTGCAAAATGCGGGCCTGACACAGAGCCTGTGATAGCAGGGGATGGCATGAGGTCATTTTGCATAACTTGCACACGGCAGTCTTGACTTCGCTAACAGCAGGTAAAATGGCCTTCACACAGTCAGCGTGCAAATCTTTGACAAGATGATCTGCATTCAGCGTGTGGGATGGATAATAGGCCCACATGCCAAATGTCCCGGAGATTATCTCATGAGGCGTACCCGAGAACCTCATTAAGCACTATTTACTAATGCTTCTCAGCTCACCCTCCCTGAGCCTGTCAAATGACTTGTTTTCCAGTAAATCTGTTGAACAGCCATGACTTTCCTTGATCTATGCAGCAAGCTCCCTTCTCAAAAGGCTTGTTGCACAACTGGGAATGTCATTAAGTGGAGACCAGTGGCTCTCCTCTCAGTATTTGAGAATTCAGCATTAGTGAGGGAAAGGATGGTCCCTAGAGTAATACACAAGAGCCTTCAGATAGTCCTTTCCCACACAGGTCCCACTAGGAATGAGGAACATGTCTGGCATAAAGCCACCTGGGCCAGTAGAAGGAATCCAGAAATTTCCCTGTGGACCCAGAAATCTACCTTTTGCATACACAGACACTTCTGAATAAAGACCTTAACATTGTAAGCTTAGTAGTGAAAACTGACCTATCCTGTAACCACCAGGTGACAGAAAACCTCAGGGTTTTCCCAATAATACAGTCAGCATGGCACTAAACTCACATTTTCTTTCTAAAATGTCAATAATTTTTGTCTTCTGCAAGCATCTTAGCAACATCAACAAGCGTGCTATTTTATGTAAGA